TTTTTTCTTTGTTTGGCCTTATTTTTGTTTGTAGGCCCTAGGCACGGTGCCTAAAGTGCCTAAGCCTTAATCGAGCCTTGGTAAGTCACTGGTCAATGCTCATTGCCAAAGATATCATATATGATTTGATTTCTATTATCATTCATTTCATTGATCAGTCTCATTCAAAAATTGTTTGGCAATGTCACTCGCAAGATGGCGACACCAAAGAAAAATTTACTATATTCAGCTTTATTCACAACCAATGTTGTAGAGAATTTATTGAATATTGCTTTTAGTATTGGTTAAAAATCAATACCAATATCAAAAATAATTATTGGCAATACCAATACCAAATTTCAAGAAGTATTGCAATATCGTCCCAAAGTAATGCCAAAAAGTATTGGCAATACTACCAATACCAATACAATATTGGAATATTAACAACCCTGGTAACAGGTTAATCTTTAGTCTTTAGTACGGTAATAGACATCAGTTCTCAATATAAAACACAAATACCGGTACATAGCTTCAGTGAATTTTGCAAATTCTACGAATTCACTGTTAACTTTGAATTAAATTATCGTTTACTTAAGAATGTATATTATTATTGAAATATATATATATATAATTAAATTCTTTTTTTTTTTTTTTTTTACTACATAACCACCCCCACTTGTCCGCTAAGCAGACATGGCAATCCTAGATGGTACCGGTTATTTACTTTTTGTGAATTTGAATCAAAAGATACTTGATAAAACTTAATTTTAAAAAAGTTTCCTTTGAAACCGACTTCTTCATGTAGTTCAGAGGACGTATTGGTATTACCTAGAGTGTCCTTTAGTCAATTTAGTCTATCTGATCACCATATTCCCCCATTTTTTATTGGGAATTCAGGATAATTTTTTTTCCGTTTAACTTTTACCTCTTCCAGAAATTTCGGCCACTCACACCGTGGCACATCAAAGTTCAATAGTAGCTTCCCGAGCATCAAATCTGGTTGCAGCTGTATACCTGGGTTAAACCTATTAATTAAATAATACTTTCATCCCTACTCTTGTCATGGTGACAAATGGGAAGGATGTCAAATATTTCATAGCTCCCGTTACACGTCTGTTTACTTTCAAGTGTAATGGTTCAGATCTTGCTCCCTTATTTAGCCCATAAAGTGAAATATCAAATCATATTTAGTTTAGTACCGTACCGATTTATCCCAGCACTGTGGTTTTACACTTTAAAATATGTACTGGTTTGACATTGAAATAATTAAATGTTAAAGTTAAGGACTGCCCCCATCCCCCCCTTGGGACCAACTTATCCCGTTTCATACGCAAAAAGTGCAGGTACTTACCCACTATGTACATTAAGTGAAGTAAGCACATTAGCTCCCGTATGATTACAGGTACAGGGGGTACCAGTATATCAAATATTTTGTTCTTTGCAGCAGTCCCCATTGAAAACTTTAAATTTTTATTAATTGCTCTGCAACAAACTCATTCAAGTTCAAACTAACCTAAGTGGCATTTTTTTTAAAGATTAGATTAACCTGAGGCTACCAGTAAAAACCCACACATTAAAACACTGTAAAAGGAACAGACAAAAAACAAATAGAAAATAAGATATGGTTTAATTTATTATTGATCTTGCTCTTGGCAGAACTGTCCACTCATTCAACACAAGTCACTTCTCTCTCCGATCCAAGCAAGCCGTATTACAACATACATAATTACAAGTTTATTTTTGTTTTTTAAGTCTAGCTACAAATAATTTAAACCTTTTAAAATGTGAAGCTATTTTATTAGTCAGTAGTTTTTTGGTCATGATTTCATTTGAGATAAAATGCTTTCATAATGAAATAACACAACTAATAAGCTACTTATCACTGAGCCAGAAAAATGATAATGAGTACCGAGTACAAACAATGTAATTCATACAGTGAGTCAAAAACCATCACTCCACACCTTTCTGCTAAAAGTAAAATGTGAACTTATGTATACACCATTTTATATATTCCATTAGATAAAAAAAAAAGTCTAAATATTTGAGAAATCCAAAAAATGAGTTTACTACAACCTTAGCTGCTGTATGGCTAAATTATGTTTTACTCTTCCAAAACATTTAATTGTAAAGTCAAGAGTGAATAAGACTAAACTATACGTTATTAAGAGCCCACACGCATTGCAATGTAAAGCTCCTTGAACTTGTCAAAGCCAGCCAACACACCAGCTCCAGCAACACCCCTGAGGATGTTTGCACCAGCACCCTTCATCATGGACATGAACCCTTCATTTTTAATGATCTTCATTGCGCAGTCCATGGATCCCTTGTATTTCACAGCCTGGCCAGAGGTCATCATCATGCGTCGACGGATGGTGTCAATGGGATAGGACAGCAATCCAGAGGAAACAGTTACAGTGTAACCAAGAGCGAAAGAGAGGAACACGCTAGCATCTTCTTTCAACAGAATGGGTTTTAAGCTGTCATAAAGACCGAAGTAGAAGCCTCTGTAGACAACAATGCCAACACATGAGATGACAAAGCCTCTGTATAGACCAACAAGTCCGTCGGACTTGATGGTCTTGGCATATACATCAATTAGACCATTGAATTGACGTTCTCCGCCACCTTTGCCGGCAGTTTTAGCATCATTGGCCAAACGGGTTCGGGCGTAGTCAAGAGAGTAGACGAAGCACAGAGATAGGGCACCAGCAGCACCTCCAGAGAAGATATTTTTGGTGAACTTCAATGGGTAAGATTCATTGGGGGCAGACTTGAAAAGGGCTTTAATTGTGTCCTTAAAAGCAAAATTAAGGGCTTGAGTGGGGAAGTATCTCAAGCAATTTGCCAAATTTCCTCTCCAAAATGGGAAAAATCCCTCTGTTCTGAAGGTACGGACTGTGCAGTCGATCACACCCTTGTATGGCTCTGACAATCGGCCTTGCTTAATCATTTCATCTTGATTTTGTACAAGAAGCTTGATTCTTTCAATGGGGGCTGCTGCGGTCTTTGAAATAACAGCAGCTGCACCAGAAAGGCCAAAATTTTCAGCGAATCCCAGCTTACGTTTCGGTTGTGCCATCTGAAAAAGAATTAAAAAAAACCATGAGTTAAATATTTACAAATGCAAAAGATGGTTGAGTTTTTGGCATCAACCATTTCCTAAACAATTTTTTTTTTAAAGGGGAGAAAATATGGTTTATAATTCTGACCATATCAAGTAAAAAGTCTATGCATAGTGCTTCTACTCCTTTAAGATTATATGGAATCAAGCAATCCCAGAGTTGTTGGTATGGTTGGAAAGCTGGTTACTTCCTCTTAGATATTCTACACTGTGGAAGCAACCAAACCTTTCAAACCCTGTAATGTTTTAACAAAATATGGCATATTCATGATGGTGTATTATGAGATCCAGCTATGACATTTAACCCACGAACTGTGGCATAGAATCCTTTAGTGTGGGAGCTTTTTGAATGCCTTTTGAAACTAACTGTTCATTGTCTAGTAATGTCAGCAAATGTAAATATAAACAAACCGGCTCCATGTACAAAAATTGAAAGTTCAATACAACTAACCCCTAACAAATAAATGAAGATTTCTAAGCCTTATTTTTGTAACTACTTTTTTCCTTTTTAAAATCTCAGTGGCGTAAAATTAGTAGCAATTAAAATTGTTGCACCCAGTTGCACAAAGAAAATTGGCAGCAGAGGATAAATGTAACAAGGGTAAGTATTAACCAGTAACATGCTCTTTGGGACTGGATCACAAAGGCCAATTACGATCACAGACCTGGTTACACCAGAAATTCCAAAATAGTACATATAGTCTCAGAATAGTACATCATCACCTCAAAGTAAATAAACATACATTATGATGTATATAATAATTATTGGTATCCTATATCAAATTAAGATCACTTCTCAAAGTAGAAAAAAGGTGCCCATCTTTTGCCACTTTAATATACATCGGGGAGCGGAAATTGAGGATGCCTGCTAAAGACACCAGAGCAAAAGTAAAGCTAGTGTTTGGGAGGAGCCGCTTCCCAGATTAAAAAAAAAATAAATTCAAAATCCAGGGATGCACTTTAGCACAATCCTGAATATAGTTTTGCATCATTCTACAATTAATCCAAATGGTTGTGAAAAATTAAGTACCTTTTATCAATCTGCTTTTATAATATAATATATATTATAATATATTTTTTATTTTATGTCACTAAATATTTAAATTGTTTATAAATAAGATGTATGGGGCTATATATTTCATATGTGCTTTTATGCCAAGAATGAAAATAATCTCTAATTGAATGAAGGAATATATTCAATGTGATGTCAGGCTAACAACAATATTTAATGTGGCGGGTCGTGAATTGCCCTCCCTTGCGGCCATGGAGTCTGATTTTATTTTCCATTAACATAACTTCCACAAGCTGAATCCGGAGAAGGCTGGTGTATGAATTTTTTTTACTGCTGATTAGTGACTTAAAAAAAACTAGTTTCAAATGCTGCTTACGATTTTTAAATATGTCAAAGTTTACTTCAAAATTGGTATGGGAAATGGGAATCGACAGATGCGTTTTTCATGATGAAAGGACCATTTTGTAGTAAAATTGTGGTATTCATCCATATTTTAACTGTAGCGGACGCAGTGACCTACATTTCCCTAATTTTTTTTTTTGCCTTTTAAATCGATCCCAATATTAGAAATTCAAGGGTAAATACAAGGCATCATTCCCTACAAAATATTGTATGAAGTTAAAATTGTATGTCTTTCATGTTATTTCTCCCTCTTGTAAAATATATTGATGCATACGTGTGCCAATTCTCATTGAGCTAGGACATGTCTACCATTAGTTATGTTCATCTAAGTGACCTGCATTACCATAAGGTCACCCTGCCCCATTTAGACTACGCCCCCTTTTTTAATGGTGGGAGAAGCAAATACATAGGAAATAATTATTAACATTTACATCAAAATATTGATAACTGTGTTTAAGAATGAACTTGGATGTAATTTAAACAATATTTTTTTAGCAAAACGTCATTGCCAAACATTCAGTCACTTCCATAATGCCTATAACGTACTACTATCTCAGAGTTTCATTCATAAGTTTCTGGTGTGAACCATTGGTCAGGTAAAGCTTTAATTAGTCATGTGTCAAAGTTGAAAGTTCAAAATAAGTAGTCCCTAAACAGCATTTAGTAAGTAAGAGGATGGATTTCCTTATATAGACTATATAGTACAAAATGGTATAATGGATGCCATAGACTTGGTAAACAGAACTGCCAAAGATAAATATACTATTTAAGTATCATACATCGCAGAATTGCTCATGAACTATATTAATACTCTCATATCCCAACCACTTTTAAACCAAAAGTTTTAAAAAAAACTTCATTTCCGAAAATAAAATATAACACCAAACGCAACCGCGTTATTAAAAAAAAAAAAAAATCATTTAGCGTAGTTATTGGGAATTTGATTTTGCGTGCTATTGAACTCATTTAACAACACTCTGGCGTATCTATATATAGCCTGCGTGGTGGTGTTTGACCTATGCTGGCGAATTATATATATAGATTAGGGGTGTGCCGGATCCGTTTTTTCCAACCGGATCCGGATTTTCTTATGCGAAATCCGCCGGATCCGGATTTTCTTATGCGAAATCCGCCGGATCCGGATTCCGGAACTATTGGTAGATACTTCGGTAAGTCAAGGTGGACTACTACTTTTTGTGTATGGGAATTCGCAATCGGCGCCAAAAAATCCGAGTTTTTAATTTTCCGATGTGTGTGTCTATTTATTATTAAATTAGTACTTTCGATATATATTTGAGTTCCGTTCCATTTGGATAAGTGTCTTACGAGAGACGCCATGTTTCTACGCGTTCGCAGCAGGTCATGCAGCTCGCTCAACCTAATTTCGCCATGGGGTTGGCCACGCCCCCCTTTTTAATGGCGGAAGTTGACGATACTTAGGAAATATTAATATATTATCACTATTTACATCAAAATAATTGATAACTTGTGTTTCAGAATGCATTTAAAGACATTTAAACTGGAATGTTTTAATTTGAGCTTTAACAACCCGGTAGAATCCATATTATAAATGATCAGAATTTACCGTGTGCAACACGTTGTCATTGGCAACCATTCACAGCCACTTGCATAACTGTATCGTAGTACTACCTCAGAGTTTCATTCATAAGAGTTTGCCGTGTGCAAAAACTATTAAACCATTGGTCAGGGAAAGCTTTAATTAATTATTCATGTGCCAAAGTTGAAAGTTTAAACTAAGTCTAAACAGTATTTTAGTGATAAGGCAGGGAATGCGTTGCCTTATATAAACTATATAGTCATTGCGCATGACGGGATTGGCGGAATGAGATCACAGAATGTGGAGATGCAGTCCATGTTAAAAAATGACAAACCAAGTCGTACTTTAAAAATTCATAACTTTAAAACTACAACAGCTAAAAATATGATTTTGGTGTTATAATTCTTTAAAAAATTACATCTTTTCAACTATGCCATTGGTTTATTTTTACAAAAAGTTTAAATTTTCTTATCAAAGTCCCTACACTATTGGCCACTATTAGCGGTGCTGACTCTAGCCTCTGGTATGTACGGAATATTAAACATTAAACAAGCTCAACGCTCGAAACAATCGATTAATGTATCGTGATCGTGTGGAATTCGGGAAAGAGAATTACTTTTATTTCAGATTATGATCCGGTGAGTCACAAAATCTGGCAAATTCCGAAATCGGGTATATTCCGGATACATGTAAATCCGGCGGAACCGGATTTCACCGGATAGTGCAAAATCCGGATTCCGAACCAGATTCCGGCACACCCCTAATATAGATTACATTAAATTTACTGCTACACTTAGTGCATAGTTAGATAAGTTACAATGTATTTAAAACTGCGTAACATTATTAAAATTACTTTTAAAGTTTCATAAAATAAAAATACTTTACACGATGCCGAACAGCGGACTGGGGTCACAAGTGGCAAAGTGTGGAAGTTTTGTCTTGAATTTTTTTCTTTTTCTAACAAATATATTGTAGCTTCTCTGTAAATTTTATAACTTTTCATTAAGTTTTTAAAGAGTTGTAGCTTATTCTTAAAAACTACCAAAACTGGGTCACAAAATAGGGGAAAAAATACCAATATACCCCAAACTTTTAAAAATTCCTAACTTTAAAACTACAAGAGCTAAAAATGATTTTGGTTTGTTATAGTTCAGTAAAAAAATTTTTTATAGCTCTATTCAACTATGCCATTGGTTTATTTTTACACGTTTTTTATCCAAGTACCTAGTTTTAAGCTCTTCGTACTTTTATCTACATTACCATGGCCATGGGTCTGACATGAAAACATGCGACCATGAATCCAAATGTATTAAATTCGACTTCAAATTTTTGAGAGACAAATATACTTCTACTACTTCCAATACAAAAGATACTAGTGGAGACAATGTATCAAAAGATAAAGAGCTTTAGTCTATCAGTAAAAAAAATAACCCTTAGAAATTAGGCTAACAATTTAAAAAAATTTTTTTTTTAAAAGTCTATGACACATACAGATCCTTCTGTTAACTTGCCATACGCTCTAAAGCAACTCGTTTTAAAAGACTAATGCTGCTGGCCCAAGGACCACCAAATTGAGAAGCACTGGTACTGGTCTACTAATAACTATGACTATGTCTTAACCCTTTTACCCTTGACAATACAAATCTAAGGTGACCCCTGTGCTACATTAAAAATAAAACTAAGCTTTATCTAGTTTTTAAGAGTAGAATAGTCAAAGAATATGCTTAATTATAGGCCCAAAAAATAGAGAAATAAAGATTACCCAGGTATATACACAGAGTAGTCCAACAAAAACGATATATCTTATTGATTATTATATTTCTTGCCAAAATCCTTAAGTATTTCTTGTGGAACAGTTTATGATAGTGAAAAATAAGATGTAAAAATAAAACAACTAAAGTAACTGATGTCATTGACAGAGGTCAGAGCAAGATTAAACTTATTCATTTTGATAGCAACCATTTTGCTGACAAGATGAGCTAAGGGAATTTTCTAAAGTACCTTGCAATTGAAAAACTTCTCAGAATCAAATATTTTAAGATACCTATAAAAAATATTTTAAAGATGTGGTTCAAACTGTCAAAATATCTTTAAAGAAAAAAAAAAACAAAAACAGGGAGTCCAACTTGCCAACTGTGTTTCCAAAATAATGCTGGTTGAAAAAGTGTAGGATAACACAACTTGGGACTAGAATTTTTATTTGCCCCACCCACCACAAGTAATTTCACATCAACATATATTTACAACTAGCCCAAAAACAAAATTTGTCAATACCTTTGATAAATTAGTTTCTATTGGTACTGGGGAACTCGGTTATTACAAAAATTAAAAAAAACTGGCACAACCACTGTGACTTGCCTGGGCCTAAGTAAGTTAAGTTACACACAATAGGCCCGGACGGAAAAAAAAACTACTAATGGTTGGGAAAATATTTTGATAAGAGTCATAAGGTTTCCTGTTTTAGCAAAGGGGTTACTTATACATCGTTGACCTGCATATCTGAAGAGATTTTAAAACATATAAACATACAATTTAAAACATTATTCCAGTTTGACCGATATGATCTTGAGCACTTCCGTCATTTTATAGAATACCTACTCGAAGAAAAAGCAGAGGATAAAATACCATTTTTGTTATAAAAATGGTCATATAATTTTGGCCAATGTAAGGAGATATCTCTGAAGAAATGAATAACTTAAATAATAGTTACCTTTAAATGTTTAGGAACTTCAACGATAAATAGAGATTAACCGGCTTCAGAGCCAAGTTGTGCCGTACACCACGTTGTAATGGTGGCAGAGAATGTAAAGAACGAAAACGAGGTCCGCAACCTACAAAGTAGGAACTGATCACGTGCATCAGTATGAAGATTTGATTGGCTCGAAAATGAAGGTCAATTAGGTCGAAATAAGTTCCGTGGTCACGGGGAAATTCTCCTCTCATTTTAATAATTTCACGCTTAGTTAAAAGATATGTAAATTATATCAATTTTTATTACGCATAAAAGTAATAATTTTAAATAAACTATAATTTTTATAACCATTTATAAACAATAATTTTCCACTCCAAATTAGTAGTAATAATTGTAAGCCTACCTTAAAAGCTGCTGAATACAAACTACTAACAGTAACACAGATGGTTTCATAGGAACGCCACGCCCACATGCACTTAGGTGTCTTGTCACAACGGGGTCTTTCAGGGGACATTCGATTCGTATTTTAGCTCTGTTGTTTCTGATCAATGAATCACTCGCCATCGATATCAGCGTTGTGTTGCTACCTATCAAGCAACAACCGTTTGTGTACATATCGGCGAATCCTTGGGGTCGGCGAACCGGGGTAAAATACCCACAATGGAGTGAAAAGGAAAATTTTGTGAGCAATGAATGCTCAATAGATATAAGTAAAATTATAATAAAATCGCGTTCTTTTTATGAAAAGTGTGGCACCAGAGTGGGATGCCATGAAAAGAGTGCTTGCTGCCAGAGTAGATGCCATAAAAAGGGTGCCACATCACAGGGAGCCACCCATTGGCATAGCTAGGGTTGGTGACACCCGGTGCGGTAAACTCATGGTGTCAAATCCCCCCCCTCCCCCTCCCCCAACTTCCACGATAGATTTCTTCTTGTTAAAATAAGTCCACAGTATGGGAATGACAAGAACAGAAACACATAAATTGAAGGTCATAAGGTGAATGCATTTAAAAATTCTAACAACGTTAAGCTATAGGCCTATATATTTTTACATTAAATTTACTTTATTTAAAATATTCCTATGCTGGTCTTAAAACCTGTAAACCTTTCAATCACTTGATCAAAATCAATATCCTTCATTAGATCCCTTTAGGTGTCTAGTAAGCCTTGTTATTTCTTTTAAAAGTTCATCTTCTAATAATTCATCGTAGAAATAGGTTACTTTTGTAACGGGTACCAATAACTCTTCTTCACCTGCTGATAGTAGACTCTTGGGTTGAACAGCTCCAAACATATCTGCTACCTCCTTCATCCCTGATGATCTGATCTGGGGTTTAGAATGAAAAGCGATAAATACACTCCTGCATCACCCTACATTTCTTCTAACAGAGAGCGAGTTCAGCATACATTAATTGCTCTCCTACCGTTCTCTGCTTAAACCTTAATCTTCTCTCTACCTAAATCCCATAGTCATATTGGTCTGATTTTAAAAGTGCCATTTCAAAAAGTTCCACCTAGTGACAGCGCTTCTCGTGCAGAAACAATCTAAAGGCCTCTAGGTTGGTCACCACTTTGTCAAAAGTAAAGCCTTTAGTCTGCAGATACTGTGAAATCACAGACGACATGTAACAGACCTTGTGCTCAAATGCGGTGCTAGTGATGAATCGGCGAATATATATATTTTTTTAGTATTTCTGGGTTTCGCTATATTTGGTTTCATGGTCAAAACGGTGTTTTCTGATCTAATTGCAAGGTCACCTCATTTCTGACGCATCAACCTTGAACTTTTAATATTAAGCACTCATTTGGATTGGTTACATGTGGGGAAAATTTACGTGTGATCGGTTATACTTTTATGAAATTCGGTTAGATTGAGCAGTGTGTGCTCTATAAATATGCAATTTTTCCATTTGGTATCAACCCTTAAATGGTGTCACCCGGTGCGGTCCGCACCCCTTCCCTAGCTACGCCACTGGAGCCACCAGAGTAGGGTACCACCAGAGCAAGATTCACTCACAGAGTGGCACTGGAAATCAGTGAAATTTCCTCATCAACACCAGTAACAGAAACATTGCAAATCCCATCTACATGCATAGGAGCCAACATGATCAATAAATTGATCTTGGGCCCTTAAGATATAGAATAAGAAAAAAATTTCACCAGAGTAGGGTACCACCAGAGCAAGATGCCACCAGAGTAGGCCTACTTGGAAAAGGTCCATGGGGAATCCGGAATATGCGTTAACCACACTGGGTGACATCAACCCTAGTGACATCACTGATTCAAATGATTGGAATTTATTTTACCCTCACCCTCTCCGCAGGCTTTGTCACTTTGTTACTTAATAGAAATTAGTTAGAGACTGATCAAAAGATGTCATTGATGCAAAGTGATTTGATCATTTAATGTGAATGCGTAAACACGGTTTCCTGGCCAGATGTTGGGCTGTTTTGATCTTGTATCCAACAACCACTAAAATAATGTTTTTCGTATAAATTCTCTAAAGAATATCATCTAGCAATGGGGTGTGGTGGGGGGTGGGGGGAGGTGGGGCTGAAAATTTGACAACAAATGCATTTAACTTAAATTTTAAGTTACGCACTCTATAAGAATCCCAATTAGTCCCCCCCACCACCAACAAGGTGCGTAACCGCACATTTTTTTTCCACGCCCCGAACTATATTAATATTCTAATAAACCGCCCCGCTTTTGCAACACAGATTTATTTCACCAACTATTTAAAAAAAAAACTAAAGAAAATATTACTAATTATTACGCATTAAACGCACTCGTGATATTAATATATACTATATTTAAATCATTTAGCGCAGTTATTGGGAATTTCATTTCCCTTTGAAAAACAGGAAAAACGTATTCTTGGGGTAGAACGTGTTGTCATCGGCAACGAGTGTATGTGCCAAGTTGCAGCGCGATAGCGTGACGGGAAGTGGGTCAATTAGCCGCCCGAAGATTTTTCCAGTCCGCCCACCCAGCCACCCACGAACGAAAGGATTAAAAAAATATGGATACTTTCTTCACAGAAAAATTTCTTAACCGAAAACTTTCTTAACCGAAAACTTTCTTAACCGAAAACTTTCTTAACCGGAAACTTTCTTAACCAAAAACTTTCTTAACCGAAAACTTTCTTAACCGAAAACTTTCTTAACCGAAAACTTTCTTAACCGAAAACTTTCTTAACCGAAAACTTTCTTAACCGAAAACTTGCCAAAAACGGTTAAAAAAAAAAACAAAAACCAACAAAACAAAGACAATGATTGTATTAATCTTTGTTGCAGGAGAGATGTGATAGAAAATAATTTTTATGGTGTATTTCATCTACAACATGGGTCAATACCTCGTGGTCAAATTTTTGCTATATTTATGTTCAGATTTTTCACACAAAAAAAGGGGGGGGGGTGTAAGCGGCAAAATTAAAGAACAATTGTTATCATAATCAAGTTGGACTCAAAATGATGGCCCTTCAACACAAAAAAAAAAATAAAAAAATAAAAATAAAATAAACAACTGACTTTTTAATTAATTTCCATCGAAACCTGATTCCAATGCGCCACACAAAATGCTGAAGACGTCTTCTTAGGAAGCCATGCTAAAACATGACAACCCCCCCAAAAAATAAATAAATGAGTAAGTACGAAGAAATCTACAATGGAATGGAGAGCGCAGACCTCAGATGGCGATTGCTGTATTATATGGAAGACTCTACATGTGTCTGATATTATAGGATGATCCAAGCCGCACCCCTGAGTGACCATGCTTCTCAGCCAGAAAAACTATCCATGGAACGAGGATTACATATTTTCCTAAATCCAGATCAATGCGGACTTCTACGCCGAGACGCTGCTAGGGGATTGAGAACTAAGGGGCATAACGCGGCTTGTGTATTCCGGACAGCTGCATGCCTTGTGTTAACCATGCTCCAGGTGGGTCGGTGGGACAGAAATGAGACCAAAAGCTTCAGCAGGTTGGCAATATTGGAGAGAGACCTTCGAGAAGCATGAGAAGTCGAAGGACCTCAGGCAGCTAAAGATAGACTGAATGGAGCATGAATTAACCCGTAAAAGCGGATCAACTCTCGTCAAACAGACGCTAGCTTTAGTGAAACACACGGCTCAATACGTTGTTGGAAACCCTCATGGTCATGGGCGCCCGCAGAAAACTTTCAGGGGGGGGGGGCAAAAAATCGCTTAACTTTCCACTGAACCCCCCCCCCC